GCCCCCATCTCTCTCTTTTTCCCCTTTCTCTAGGCTCACTTCAGTAAATTTCTGCCCCCCACCAAAATGGACTTTGTGAGCCAACCATTTAACTCCCTTCAGCTTTTGGTCATTTAGGACTATATCCACATCCTTCATTTGGTCTTCACAGGAGGGTGTAGGTGATACAAAGTCAAAAAACAGCCTTGAACTGATACAGAGAGGAGTCTGGGCCATTCATCTTGCTTTTGAAAAGCGATTATGAAACTGACTTGAAGTTGAAACCTTGATATGGTACCATATCAAAACCATAATATGGTACCTAGCCAGAAAAATTTGAATTGCGTGTGCAGAATTGAAGGATTAGAAGAATATGCTTCTAATCAGAAGATGGAGATTAGTAGCTCAACCACATTTATGTTTGTGTGTGTGTAGTTGAGCTGACTAATCACGCACATGCACATGCTTTAAACAAGTTGCTCGCTTTCACGTCTTTCCAGTCACCAAGAAGTTTTTGAGTATTTGATTCTGAGCCACTTCAAAGGCGGTCCCCATCCTTTGGTTTAGTTATGGTTCTGCATACTATTAACAAACTTGTAATGATTTTCGTGGTAGAAATTTAGTAAAGTGTTTGTTTGGATCATCAGTATGAATTGCATAGAGATCTTATGGGAGTCAATTAATTTTCTTCTGTGTATGGAGTCTGTGATAAATAAAATTAAAAAAATCGTAATTCTGTTGTGGAGGCTGGCCCATTTTGGCCTGGTAATGTATTTACAGTTTAGTCAGAGACTGATTAAGTTCAGAAGGCCTAGCAATGCAAGTTATTTGTCAATACAGTTGCTAATTTTGAGGTCGTTTTGCAAAATGTGATGCTATCCTAAGGTTGTTTAGCAAAATGGCATGTCATAAAGGCTCTTCATTAGCCATTTTTCTCATGGTAGATATTTCTGGATTGCTGGATGAGCATGTAGCTATGCTCATATTATCAGTATGGAAAAATAATCTTAAAGGAAGCTTGTTAAACATATGGCCTGTGGGCTCGATCTGGCCTGTGGGTCTTGGATCAACCCAATATACTACATGTTACTTGTGGAGCCAGTCTAGTATGTGGGCTGGGTCCAGTGGTGTGGGTGCTCCTTGTAGCATAAGGGGTCAGTCTGGGGTGAGTACTGCAAGCAACACCCTGCTGGCATGGCCCTATGCACTGGTGTGGCATGATCTGTCCCACAGGCCAGCCTAGGAGATCCTCATCTTATAGCTTGTTAACTTATGCCAAATGTCCTCTGAGTATCTTAAAGCTACACCACTTAAGCCAAGGGTTAACTCTGGACCATGCTACTTCGTGTTTGGATAACTTCAGTCTGCTACACCGAAATAAAATGAGCAATTTGCAGTCCTCCAGCATCCCAGGATGTACCACTCCCAGCCCCCTCTCCCCCTGAGCAGGGATAGAGCCCAGGTTCCCTGGCTCCTAGCCAAGCCCTCTAGTGGCAGAGAAGACCTGTGCACACAGGCAAGGAACAGTATTAACCCTTAATGCGTACCTGCTTTCATCAGTTTTTAACTTTAACACTGCTTAACATTCCACAGATTTAGTATGGTTTAAGTGTAACATGCAACTTCAGCCTTAAATGCTTCCTTTATTATGGTGAAAGCAGAGCAGGAAGGGGCCCTCATTACCTTGCTTGCTAATATCAACTACCTAACCTGTAACATAGATTACGAATACCCAATGAGAACTGCCTTCTTAGAGGTGCTGTCCCATTAGCCAAGTGTTGCAAAAGGGTGACCCAGGATGTGAATGCAGTTCCTCAGTCCTAACCCTGCAGTCTTCTCTCCCCCAGCCCCCGATAACCCTAAGTAAATAGCAGCAGTGCTAGTCCAGCTGTTTTCACTCAAATTGGGTTCTGGTTGACTTCTAAAAAGATGAGCAGGGAATTTCAGTTACCTGGAATCAGTCTCCCTTACCCAGCTTATTCACTGTGGCTTAGGGATAGAAAGTGGTAACTGATAAGCTGGAGAAGGAGTCACCTGTTGATTTAGACTAGAGGGTTGCTGTGGCCTAGGGAGATGGACAGTAAGGTGCATGAGGTGCCATGGCTGTGGACAGTATAAAATGCTCTGGGTAAAATCCTTTGCACATTAATGTCAGTGTGACAAGTTCTCTGTAAGTTCTGACTAAGTAGCACAGTCTGTTTTGCAGTCCTCTTGATTTTATTTTCTGTTCAGTTAAAATAATCCAGTGGGTTTTTTTGTTGTTGTTATAACAAGCTGCCCCAAACTATTATTGGTGACCAATTGCATGTGCCTTCTTGCAATAAGGATCTACTTCACTTGCTTGAGAAGGGAAGAGAAAAGATAAAAAAAAAAAGTAGATGTCAGATCCAATAACTATTTAATTTGAAAGTGTTTAACAAGGCTAGCATTATCAGTTGGATGGAGATCAATATATGAAAAATGCAATGTTCAAATCTTTTAAATGCAGAGATATAGCCTAGGTTACAGTGGTTGTCTTCCTCTATCATTTTCAGTGTGTAAAAAGCATGCGTTAAATCTAAAAAAATGGTGAGTTTTACAGAAACACATGAATTGTTGTCAGACATTCATGGCATCTATATCTCTTGTAGTTTTAACAGAACAAGACAGTGCTGCAGCTCAACAGTATGTTCGCCAGGGGTGTCCAACAGCACTCAGAGCTGAATTGTGGGCACTCATTCTGAATATTTCAAATCAACCTGAGGTAAGGAGTAAAGTTTGATTAAAGTATAAATGGCTGTTGAAACTGCACATGTGTATTTGCTAGTATTCTTTTTTCCAATAGCAGGAATATATTGCTTGGTCACAGAAGCAAACATTTACAAAATACCATACTGATTTCCAGGTATGCAAGCTTGAAAAGCTGTTTGCTATTTTATAGGAAATATACAAAGGGCCAAGAGAAACTCAGGGCCACCTCCATATCTCTTATTCCTTGTCTCCTTGCAAAGTTGTGTTGGCAGTTGTAACACTCTGTACATGACGGATCTTGCCAGTAAAACTACTTAGCTTGGCTGCGGCTCTGTAGGCAGATTAAGATTTCTTCAGCTGTGGCAGCTGGTGTACCTGATAGCATAAAAAACTCCTTTTATCAGCAGACCTGCATTTTTACATGAGGGGACCTGGCTACTGCAGTGAAGATGCCAGCAACTCCATCCTGTAGACTAAGCCATAGGCTGTTCCCTTGTGGTACCTTTTATTAACTTTAACACAAAATATTCATCTGACTGAAACAGGTGGTAAGCCTCAGCTGTGTTTTCCTTTCTGACTATCCCCTTGTGATGAGGGCAGCTTCCAGGCCTGGTGCTAGTATGGCCCTGTCCCTGTCTCCAGGCAAACCACCTGCCTCTTTCGCTTGCCGTGCTTTGGTGTCATATTATTCTGATGTTATTAGATGGGAGGCTGCCCTTCAATCTTCCCTAGTGTCAAGAGCCAAATGTACACTCTCCAACCACTCCTACACATGTCCCATGCGTACCCGCCTGGTTTTGAACATCCGGTCATGCACTACACATCCCCGGATGTTTGGGGTTGTCCGCCTGTCCGTCCCTGTGGTCCCACCGAGTCGGTGTCATTGACCAGGATAGTCTCTCCCCAATCTCGCCTGCCACAACTTCAATCTTATCCCAGTGGTGGGGTTTGACTATTGGCATTTCTCGTACATGGGACCGCGGGATGAAGATCTTCTGTGAGGCTCCACTTCCCCTCTACCTCGCCCTTACACCCCACCTTGATGAATGCCGATGGTCTTTGGCCATGCCCCTCTGATAGCTGGGTCTTTGCGCCCTTTCCTTAGTAGGCTATAGGAAAGTCTGGCTAAAAGCCCCCTTTGCCACCTTCCTCCTCACAGCTGATTGGCCTTGTATGTGGTTGAACCCTATCTGCGCTCCTCACCTCAGAACCCCTCCAAAAGTGGGCAACAAAAGAAAACACAAAGTATATCACCGGCAAAGAAACACCAGTTACCAAAAGATGGCCTTCGCCCCCTTTTATACCTATTCCTACAGCCTGCCCTATTCCCACTGGCTGCGGCCTCTAAGGCCCTTGGTAAGCCTAGACTGGGTGTGGGTCAAACTGTTGTCCCCCGCATCCTCCCCTTCGTTCTCTGTCGAGCCTGTGGGTTCACTGTATTCCCGGTGAACCCCCTCGGTGCGTCTCCCCCACGTCTCTGGTGAGGCAGCTCTATGTGGCTATTGCCCGTCCTCCGTCGCCCTTCCCGCTGACTCTGCCCTTCAGCCTCCGCTTGGGGTACCTCCTTGGGGCTGTCTGAGCCCTCTACGGTCCCACCTGATCTGGCGTTCTGGCTTCTGCCAACTCTCCTGACCCTTTATGGGCAACTCCAGGTCTCAAACCTCTCCTGCTGTCTTCTGTCTCCGAGTCTCTGCTCTCCCCTCTCGCCTCCTGCCTCGTTGCCGACAGCGCTCTCCTGCAGGATCTCGCTGTTTCCTCTGGGACTGCAGGATGCAAACCCCTGTGCTCCTCCCCTCCAAGGGGACTGCAGGAGAGATTCCTCTCCGGTGCTCCAGCTGGTCTCTCCCCTTTCTCCTCGCCTGCTGCTCCCTTTAACTCCCCCAGCCGGCTCCTGAAGCTGCTGTTATCAGCTGGCCGCAACTTTATAAAAACGCGGCTAACGAGCTGCTCGAGTCCCATCGCCATTTCCGTCTTTGCCATGGTTCCTGCTAAAGGTAAGAACCTTTCTGTTTGCTTCTCTTTTTTTTCTTTTCTTTCCCCGACCAGCTCCTGCTCCCCAGGTTCCCCCCGGGCTCCTCAGGGTTTTCCCCCTGGTTTCTCCCTGTGACACCATGCCTCGCAGATGTCATGCTATAAACATAAACAGCTCCAGCTTGCAGCCCGGTCAAATATAGCCCCTTGTAAGGCCAAACACATACGCCCCACTCAGGCCTCTCTCTTACTGCCCCCTTCTCACAAGGGCCTCTCACATTCCACCCCTCTCTTGCAAGGGCCTCTTACATACCGCCTGTAGAGGCCTCACTCCTGCTTAAGAGATGCTCAGGCTTGTCCACTCATACCTCAGACAGCCCTGGTCCAGCCTTTTGGGACTCTCCTGTGATTCTCATCAGGGCGATGACTACCGATTTTATCCGCTTACTGTTTTCACCTAGCCCTGGCCCAGCCTTTTGGGTCCTCTGTGACCCTCATATGGGCGGTGACCGCTGATTCGCCTCACTCTGGGCTTTCTCAGCTCTAGCCCCTCATCAAGCCATTCCTTACTCCTTCCCCCTTGGACAAACACACCACCCCTCCTACTGAGGCCTAGTGTCGAACACCCCCTTGGGCCTCAGCTGCTCCTCTCTGAGCTTAACTGGCTCCACTACTCTGCCCGGCCACTCTCAGGGCCTGGAGTCTTGCACCCCTACAGGCTCAGGTGCTTCACAAAGTGTGCCTGCCTCCCCCACAACTCTCCTAGTGACCCACCCAAAGGTGGGGACTGGGGTTTAGGTGCCCTGACCCGCATTATATTGGGGAGGTGATCGGTCCTGGTATTTAAGTGGGGCTGCTGCACCACTGGCAGTCCCACCAGGCCTCTCTATCCCGGCAGGGTGCACTTTTAGGTTATGCCCAGGACCAAGGAGGCCACTTCCTTCCCCATAGCCTCACCCTTATTTCTGAGGTATTCCTGGAGCAGGAGCTCTGCCAGGCAATGTTACTCCCTCTTGACTGATCTTACCCTGCTCTGCCCTTATAACAGCTCTCCAAAATGGTTGCTTTCCAAAATGGCTGTTTTCATCAGCTACCTGGCAGCTTCCTGCTCCAGCCCTTAAAGTGACAAACACCCAAAGGGGTGTTCTGTCACACCCCTCTTTGGAAAGACGACTCACCCTTTCATTTAAACTACTGCTAAATCATTTGACAAGAAGGTGGCCCTTAACTCTTTCCTCACTGTTCCACCTGTCCCCAATATGCACATATAATTATGAATTAATATATTTATTTATATACTGGGCATTGTATGATTTTTTTATTTAAAATACAAAAAGGGATTAATAGGATATGCACTATTCTCTGAGTTAATTTTCATGGCTTTTCCTGTGTTTGTTCAATTTAACTTAGGCTCTGATTCCAGGAGAGTTATGCATGTACTTTAATCTTATGCCATGTGAGTAGTTACATTGAAGTCTATAGGGCTATTTGCACTACATAAGGTTAAGCATATACGTAATCATCAACCCCTGGGAAAAATTTAGCTTGTAAACTCTTTGGGTCAGGGAATTTTAGTGTTATCACAAAATCTATGTATATTTATGATTTCAGAGGTATACCTGGGCACTTCTATGCCATGGGTGGCGGTGGTGCGCTGGGCATCTTCAGTGGTTGTCCTGCTTCTGCCAGATATCACTGTGGCAGGTGGCCTCCCATTTAGCTAGCTGTGCTATTGTATGACTTTACATATAAGTGTTAATGCAGCATTTGTCTCTCTTTGAAGATAATGATTCCATTATAATATAGGGGCATTGATAACTGACTATTTAAAAGGTTACTATATTGTTTGGATTTTTCTGATTGTAAGGAAAATCTAGACATATATCTCTTTCCGGGCACTGAGAGTTTTGCATTAGCTCTGGAATCCTAATTCTAAGAGACAGTTTTGACAAAGAGATTTGATTAAGTGTTGTGTGGCCTAGTGATAGAAATCGTCATATACTATTTATAAAAAATAAATATTATCAGGCATTTGTTTATAGTAATAGATTAATTTTTAAAAAATCAAAAGCACTGCTGAAGTAGTAATGAAAATATACTATAAGTTTATTCGTGATGCTCAATGCTGGATTTAAGTTATTTTAAATGATCAGGACAGTTGAAGTCTCAAAGGTTTTTCTCTTTATGATGACAAACAGGTTAGAAATATGAAATACATTTTGTTGGCTTCATTGCACATGTTTATATATCTTGAGGATTTCATGTCTTAAAGACATGGGTTTTTTTAATATGCAAAGTAAAATTACTGACTTAAAGGTCAGATAATTTGTTTTGAGGAATGAAGGTAAAAGCAATTATGAAAAAAGTAAATTGTAAAGTTTAATTTTTCTATTTAAATATCAAATGAAAAACTGAACACTGCTTCCTTAGAAAAAGAAGTTACCAGAAACTCATTGGACACAGTTTAAAATGTTACTTTTTTGAAGAGGAGTGAGTTACTTTGCTATCACTTATGAAAGCTATGCTGTTATTTTCATCAAAAGCTGGGCTTTGTTTCTTTTTGTTTTGCTTGGTTCTTTCTAACAGCTTTCACAAAGTGTTGAGTTCTTTTAAACATGCTGGAAAGACTGGTCTCTCCTCCAAGGTAGTCACAATCCACTGGTATAATTTAGAGCAGGGACAAGCAAAATATGGCCTGTGGGCTGGATCCAGCCTGCCAAGCACTTGGGCACCATCCAGCCCAGGGCACCCACCAACAAATTATTCCTGCCCAGCCCTTCCACACACAAGGGTGGGAGTGAGGGACCCACGTGTACACACAGACCCAAACATACCCTACTGCCTCGCTCCCACCCTCATGGGTGGAAGGGCCCAGCCAGCCAGCATGCAGCTTCTGTGCAGGACTGCTGCACCCCCCAAGGACCTGCTTCACTTTCCCAGTCTCCTGCTGGCTCCAGGCAGCAGGTAGGGAAGCAACGGGGGGAGAAGCTGCAGCTGGGAAGGAGCGTGGAGCATGGGGCTGGGGCTGGCCCCATGGCAGGG